GTGCGGCTCTGCGGCAGGGCGGCAGCTCCGAAGTCGCTGGAGCCCAGTGTGCGTCTTGGCTGTGCCCAGGCCATCTGCAGCGGGTATGGCGTCTTTCTCTGGGAGGGTCAAGCGCTCTCTCCCATCCCATCTGCTCTGCTACCGCGCAGCCTCGCCTCCCCTGCGTCCAAAGTCGGTGTCTCAACCCCTTCCAACTGCGCCGGCCTGCAGCTCACCTGAACTAAACGAAGGGGACACGCCGGATGCCAAGACGCCCCAGGAAGTCAGGAAAGGCCCAGGGCCTTCTGCCTGACTGTCTTGGGACGCTTGATCTGGGAAAGCCAGCGGCCATGAAGGAGTCCGACCATGCGTCCCGAGGCTGCCACGCTGGACAGGGGAGCCATCTTCCAGTCAACCCATGGGAAATGCGCAAGTCAGACCCTCTTGGCCCCTCCAGGCCAGCCCACCCTCCAGCTTGGAAGACTGAGGTTGCCACTCGGAGCGGAAGATTTGCCCAGTCACGTCCCACCCAAATTCCTGACTCCCCCAAAATCCAGGAGATAAAATATGGTTGTCACCTATGTCACTAAGATTTAGCGTCTCCTGTTGCCTCGTGATAGTAAAGGGACACTCGTTGTGTGACACCCGCCAAGGGACCTCACCTCATTGAGGCTGCGTCCTGACATGCAAATGGAGGTGATGCCCACCGCCTCCAGGGTGGCATAAAGTCCCGTAAGATCCCCCACGTGTCACCCCACAGTAGCAGTCAAGAGATGGCGGCTTCCTCCTCACCACCATCAGCCTTCTTCGTTTGCCAAGAAGACAAAACAGTCAGGCCTGCAGAGAGAGGGGTACACAGCACCAGTCCTCCCAGCACAGCCGTCAGACACCCAAAGAGATGACAAAAGCAGCACAGGTCACCACGTGCTGGAGCTGAGGCAGATCCCCTGCGTTTTTTGTAAGCAAGAGAGACAGAGACCGACAGACAAGCTGGCTGCCCTCTACACACGACTCCAGAGCTGAGTTGTACACATGGAGTTACTCTTAAAAATCACTTGAAGCCGGGTGCGGTGGCTCACGCCTGTCATCCCAGCACTTCGGGAGGTGGAGGTGAGAGGACTGCCTGAGACCACAGGTTTGAGACCAGCCTGAGCAATGTGGCGAGATCTCATCTCTACAATATATCAAAAAACATTAGCCAGGCATGGTGGCGTGTGCCTGTGGTTCCAGCTACTTGGAAGACTGAGGCGGAAGGATCACCTGAGCCCAGCAGGTCGAGGTTGCAGTGGCCATGAGTGTGCCACTGCACTCCAGCCCGGGAGACAGTGAGACTCTGGCTCAAAACTAAAAATACAAGTCACTTGAGCAAAAGTGTTTTGGTACACTTGAATTTTAGTTTAGTAGATGACATTATATTCAGATATTTAGGCTGGGCATGGTGGCTTATCCCAGCATCCTAGCACTTTCGGGAGGCTGAGGTAGGAGAATTGCTTGAGGCCAGGAATGTTTTTTTAAAGCAGGATTTGTCGAGAGAACAGAAAATCTCCCACAGTGGGAGGGAACCCAAGGCCAGGAACTTAAGACCACCCTGAGCAACAAAGAGACACCAGCCTGGGCAACAGAGCAAGATCCTATCTCAACAAGAAAATGAAAAATTAGCCAGGAGTGATGGCCTGCACCTGTAGTCCAGGCTACTCCAGAGCTTGAAGCAGAAGGATCCCCTGAGCCCCGGAGTTCGAGGCTGCAGTGAGCCATGATTGCGCCCCTGCACTCCAATCCTGGGTAACAGAGCAAGAACCTGTCGCTAAAAAAGTTAATAAATAAATAATGGAGTCCAGTTACTCTGATTAAAAAAGATAAGAAAACATACAAAAGAGTTAATAGGCAAATAAACCTTTATGAAAGTCCTTAAAGACACTCCTGCCTTTACATCAAGAAACTGCAGTCCCAGAGGACCAGACATGAGAGTCATCCAAGACGTGGGCAACGGACATTCACAAGAACACTCATCCCTCTTCATCTGAAACACCAAAAGCGGGTGGCGTCAGTGTCCAGCGTGGAAGAAGCGCTCTCCAGCCTCCTCCCACCGCCACCCACACTGCCCAGCCTTCTGGCCACACTCCTGTGGTCCTGCATTTACCAAAGACCACATGTCGAGGCCCAGTCTTCCGCCAGGACACAGGGTGGCCCCAAGCCTGTCCGGACACCCTCTCCACCCCATGACCTTCATCTGCACGCCCCTTCTGCTGCCTGCTCTGAGCACCTCACTGGGGGCGTTCTCGTCTCTACTAGAAGCGCCCACAGCCCCTCTCTTATCCCCCGACCACCCCTTCCAAACTCCCAGAGAGCTCTGGCCGCCGGCGGTTCCTTCTTCCTCCCCTGCCTGGACAGATCGCCAGCACGCCCGCCAGGGTCTCCAAGGCCTGCAAGTGATCGCTCCAGCAACCCCGAACATGCCACGCTGTTTCTCATCTCTGTGCCTCGCCCACCACGTCCCTCCTGCCCAGAACGCCCCTTCCCCTACGCCCCACCGCTGAGGGTCACCACCAGCTGCACCAACACGGCGTTTTCATCTCTGGCCACCCGCTCCCCGGCTGCAGCGGGACACACTGCGTCCCCGCCCGTCGCACCGGGCTACCGCCATCTGCTGTGTCTCCCTGGTGCCGGAAATCCCAGGGAGGGGGACCTCTCCCTCCTTCCTGAATCCCCATACACGGACCATTGACACTAATCCGAACCCACACATGGTTGTTAAATGAATAATGACATCTACGCAATGGAATATTACACAGCCAATAAAAGTTGTTTACTCAGAGTGCATGATCACGTGGGAAAACGCTGACAGGGTGTTTAAAATTTCAAAAGACACAAAACCGTATTTGTATTGCAAGCCACAGGGGAGAGTTCGAAGGAAACACGGCAAAATGTGAGCCATGTTTCTGGCGCAGAGAAACCAAGGATGTTTTCTTTCCCCCTCCTCGTTCCACTTTCGGCATTTTCAAACCCTTCTGTAGTGAGAGACAATAAACAGGGAAATAAAATGAAAATCTTCTTGCAAGGAGCACCTTAACGTACATGCAACTTGGCTCCCAGAGAGTGACCATCGGGGACACGCTACGATGATAGATTGCATTTTCACAGCCTCAATAAAGAGCTTTGCTTCTCCTCAGGGCTATAAAATATTCACGGTTGTTTTTATCACCTTGCACGTTGCAAGCTGGCAGAGGAACCACTGTCATTCAGACCCAGACTCCTGCCGCCAGTTCATTCCAGGATGGACCGTCCTGGAAGCAGACAGGCTGGCCAGAGGTCTGCACATCAAACACAGCAAAGGAGAGTGCCACACCCCTCTGAGGGTGAACCAGGGCTGCCTGACCACTACTGGCCTGAGGAGTTTCCTTCATATTCTTGAGCTGCGGCCTTCAGTGAGGGGGATATTGACTGCAACCCCGGGGACCAGGGTTTGAAGCCTCACTGTGGGCTGGCCATGTGGTGGCCACACTGCCATTTGGAATGAGCGCAGGTGGGGCTCGCTTTGCAGGTAGCATGGAACCATAAAAGCGTCCAGAAGCTGAAACTGTTTTAGGCCATATTAATAATCAATGAGGACATCACAATTGTTCTGCAGCCTTTAAATATTTTTGTCAAGAGGCCGGGCATGGTAGCTCAAGCCTGTAATTCCACCACTGGGAGGCTGAGATGAGAGGATTGCCAGGAGTTCGAAAGCAGCCTGCCCAACATAATGAGATCCTGTCTCTGTAAGAATAAAAATAATAATAAATAAAAACAAATTAAATTAAAAAATAAATGAAAATATTGTCAAGACATTATAAATTGTCTTACTGGTGGTTATAAGTGCATAGGGATTTTTTAATAGTAAAACCATTATTTATTTATTACACTATAATTAAAATACTACAAGCACTGAGAATCCAAGTATTTTATTTCTTTGTCAAAGACATACCAAGAGCAGTTTGAACAGAGCTGGCTTTGCTGCTGGACATCTTACGATACTGAAAAAGCATCTTTTCTATGCATTGGAGAATCATCTTTCTGAGTTTGGGTCAGCTTCCGAGGTTCTATCCTTTGTGCTTTCAGGACCGTGGAATCTCTTCAGGAGTTCCTTAAACGCGACGTGTGTTCCCCACGTCACTGCCTCTGGGACGTCTCATCTTGTGGGCACAGCCCTGCCCTGCACTTTTCCATCAGCTCAACGGCACTCAGCTCCTCCGGCTGCAAAGAACAGTCTCTGGGAGGCGGCAGCTTCGGCCTCCCGGGATCACCGCCATCTTCCGCGACTCCAGTTCCAGTCCATTCAGATGTCATGTCCAGCTCGGTCACTTTCATGTCTTTGCTGGACATCATCTTTGTTGGCTGGGTCCCTCTTTCAATGATCTGTTTTGTAAAACATCACGGGGGTTTATCACTGGGAGTGTCTCAGTCTTTTCAGGCTGCTATGGCAAAACACCATAGACTGGGTGGCTTATGAACAGCCGAAATTTACTTCTCACCGTTCTGGAGACTGCAAGTCCAAGATCAAGGCACAGCAGACCCGGTGTCTGCTGAGGCCCCACCTCCTGGTTCACAGAGCGCCCCCTTCTCCTGCGGCCTCCCAGGGTAGAAGGGGTGGAGCTTTCTGGGGCCTCCTTGGTGAGGGCACCAATCCCACTCATGCAGGCTCCACCCTCACGACCCCATCCCCACCCAAAGGCCCCACCCCGAAACGCCCTAACCCTCAGACCACAGCAGGCAGGAACGAGGCAGCACAACTTCATGCTCTTCTGTCTGTGCAGGCACTGACAGAAGTGCACGGCCGACCGGCAGCAGACTTTGGAAGGTACCAGGTGTTGAGCCGGGTGCAGAAAAAGGAGACGTGACCAAGCAGACACAGTGTCTGCCGTGGGACAGCACCGGGGGACAGGACCGTGGGGCTGTGATTCAGAAAAGCCTGGGTTCCAGTCCCATCTCGTGATCTCAGCTGGGTCACCTCTCGCTGCTGGGGCTGGCTCCTGCGTCTGTCATCAGGGTTAGGTACAAACAACAGACACTGACCCAGACTAACATAAGCAAAGAGGGAAATCGCTGGAAGGCTCTGAGGGACCCACAGAATCGAGTGGACACGCGCCCTCAGGAGAGGCGGAAGCTGAGCAGAGCTAAAAACTCGACTTTGGGAATCCACGACTATTCCGGTTATCTATTGCTGTGCAACAAGGCACCTCAAAACATCATGGCTTCAAACAGACACCATTTCATCTGCTCATGAGTCTTCCATCTGGGTCGGTCTTGGCATGGCTCCTCTCTATTCCACACGGACAGCTTGGCTGGGGACTGCGGGCTCTACCCGTGATGCGGTCACTCTCCTGCTGGCGAAGTGGCACCAGGTGTCAGGTGAGCAGCTCGGCCGGAGGCCTGGGTTCCTCTCTGCAGGTGCCTCTCCACAAACTGCTGGGTGTCCTCACACTGGGGCAGCCGGCTTCCAAAGCCAAGTGTCCCAGGACTTCCTTCTGACCTAGCCTCCAAGGCCACAGAGCGTCACCACCCCCATCTTTTACGGGTTCCTCTCGTACTTGTGAAATGGGAGACCTATGCTCAATAAGACGAGAGTCACGGCTTACAGAGGGCAAGGAGTGACATCTGACCACGTGACACAAATGCTGCCAGAAATGAACGGGAAACCGAGGGCGGGATTTGCCACAGAGGCGACAAATGACGGCAGAAACACAGGCAAAGCATGTGCACGAATAAGCTCACAAGGGAATAACTACCGTGGCCAGTAAGCACAAGGAAGGAAGCTCAGCCTCACCAAGAATTGCCTCAAAAGAACACAACGTCTTCCCCATAATATTGGCCAATGTTAAATATGTTCAGTCTGAGTTGCTGATAGCAACGCTCTGGGGAAAGGAAGGCTCTAGTGCCAAGTCTGGTTGTCAGAAAAAGTTGACAGTAGACGAAGATGGCTTAGAAGAACAAACTCCTAGAAGCAGCCATCTCACTTCCTGGGGGAATAACCAAATACACACGCCAAGCTGTTGCAACAGAGATGCTCTTCCCGTCCTGGGCCCATGACCCTGACCAGACAGATGGCCACTTCTCGACACCCACCCACACGGAATTGACTCAAATATCTGCGACGGATAGCAGCAATAATGAGGGTGCTATGGGCGGACCTGGGTCCCCCCCAAAATTCATTGATCGAAGCCCTAACCCCCCGAGCCTCCTAATGTGACTCTTTGGAGACAGGGCCTTCGGAGAGGTGCTCAAGGCAAAATGCAGTGACACGGGTGGGCCCTGACCCCAAATGCCTGGGGTCGCGACACCCACTGGAAAGACCATGTGAAGACACGGGAAGAATGGGCATCTAAAGCCAAGGAGAGGCCTCAGGAGAAATCCCCCAGGACGCCTTGACCTTGGACTCCCTGCCTCTGGTGCTGTGCGGCAGTCAGTTTCTGTTGTTCCCGCCACCCAGTCCCAGCAGCCCTAGCAAGCTCACACCATGGGCTCTGCGCTTCCTCACCGGGAAAGCTGTTCACGTATATGGCTAAGGGAAAATTTAAAAGATGGCAAAACAGGATAAGCACACAGTAGATGTTCCAGAAAAGCATTTGTTCGGTCAATGAGTAAATGTAGATATGTATATACCTAACCAGTATGTGTACACATATGCAACTAAAAATTTATCAAAATATTTTCGGTAGCAGGATTTTCTTTTCCTCCTTTTCTCTTTTTATGCTTTCTGAACTTTTTACAATGAGTAGACATATATTTTGTAGTAAGACAAAAAGCCAATAGAAATCAAAATAGTTTCAAAAGGGCAGAAAAAACCCACCTCTACGTGATTCCACAATGTCAGCAGGACAAAGTCCAAAGTGATCACAGCCTTCAAAGCCTTTCCCAAATGGTCCTGTCCACCCGTCCCATCCCCCCCTTGCTCCTCCTCCAACCCCACCCCCCACACACATCCTCTAAGCCACACTGACCCCCAGGCCACCCTACAAAGAATGCCCGCTCCCAAGACACTGGCCCTTAACCCTCTGTGGCCAATGCCCAGAATTCCTTTCCTACCTAACACACCCGGGCAGAATCCGTTTGGCTTTCAGGACTCAGCTGGGACGCTGCCTCTCCCAGGAAGGCATGCCTGACTGCCTAGCCACCATGTGACTCTCCGCCCTGAGTCCCCCCGCACGGTGTAGGTGTGGACACTGAGGAAGATGTCTCCAGAACACGATGCTTAGTAGAATTTTTGCGACAGAAAATGTGAAGGTCTGTCTTACGGGGTCATGTGGCAAAGGTGGCTAGGCGTCCACTGAGAGCCACGCTCTCTCTTCCATTCTTAGAGCAGTCCCTCGGCCACCCTGCCAAGGACTACATTTCCCATCTCCCTTTGCGCCTGGGCGGGGCCGTGTGACCAGATCTGGCCAGTGGAAGGGGAGAAAAGTGCCGCGTCACTTCCGGGCCACAGTGTCGAAGAAGGGCGTGCGCTTCCCCACGCCTCCCTTTCCAGAGCGTGGAGAGGACGTGGGAGTCCACCCGTGAAGGGCCCGGGCCCCCTCGTCACCCTGTGGAGGGCACTGCCGCCCACTGGGTCCACCCATGACGGGCAGGTACAGGAGGATCAATGTCCACGGTGCCAACCACTGGGATTCGGGACTGTCCTTGTAATTGGTGTTAATTTGAGTAACAGACCGTCTCCGCGTCCTCAGTACCCAAAACACCCAAGAGGACATCCTTCTTCCCGCAGAAAGCACTGGCCCCACCGCATGCGCTGACTGGTCTAGGGGTGAGTTTCTCCAGCAGGTCGGGCAGGCAGGGGTCCCCCTGTCACCACCACATCCTCCTGGTACACAGGGACCTCCGGGCACCACGCCAGGCCCAGGGAGCCCATGACATGCACTGACTCCTGTGACACCTCCCCTGGGCTCACCTGGGCCTGGCCGGGCTGGACAGTGTGCCCGAGATCACTGAGCAGGAAGTGGCGAGGCTGGCACGGGCACCTCTCCTCTGCGGGGACAGAGAGAAGGCCCCGGGGCCCAGGCAACCGCCTGCCGGCCTTCCGGACCCATTAGGCAACTGGGATCCTGGCACGGATTCGGGTCAGTGGGTTGCCACCGTGATCCTTATGCAACGATAGCGAATGTCCTCGGCAAGTCAGGGGTCTGAGAAGCGGACCCAGGATGGGTCTAGATCAGAAAAGACCGAAGAGACACAGCAGCCGAACACAATGCAGGGCTCCACATCCTGGGTCCAGCCAGCCAACCGCAAGGGGCGTTTTTGAGACAGCAGCGAGGACATGCATAAAATAAACCAGCATGTCGGTACCAAGGAACGATACTCCTGTTGTTAGGTAGCACGATGGTGTTCGGCTGTAAGAAATGCCCTTAACACTCAGAGCCGCCAGCTGATGGAGCGGTGAAGTGACAGCAGTCTTGGGCCTGTCTAAAAGTTCTTCGGCCAAAAGCAGGGAAGGACGGCAAAGTCTCGACAGCAGTTGAAGTGAGAAAGCAGATTAGAAGCAAACCCATATGTCGTATCTCTACTTTTACACGTGTTTCGCCAACATTTTCCGTCGAAACTCATGTAGGGCAAAAAATGCAAAAGCTAACAGAGGTCATAAAATGGCTCCGTTTTATGGAGGTCGGGGTACAGCGCTGCACCTACTTCAACTAATGCTGCCTCAAAGCCTGGGAGAGGTTGGCCGCTCTCCCTCTGCTTTACAGATGGAAAAACGGGGGTTTTCAGAGGCTGGAGAAGCTGCCAAGAGCACAGCAGCTGTGCCCAACCCAGGGCCCAGGCCTGGGAGCCCAAGCCCAAGTTCCAGCCCCTGGCAGCCACATCCTGGGTCCTCAGAGAGGGCTGGGGGAGGGGCTGCGGGAGGCCGGCGGTTGGAGAGCCATCCCTGCTTGGGGCGGCCCACCCTCCCAGCTGGCAGCCTGTGAGCAGCCTTTGTCCTGCCTCAATGGGACATTCAGCCTGGGCTCTGGAGGACAATGGCCCCCACTGGGCAAGGAGGGCAGTGCCCATCCTGGCAGCCCAAGGGCCCCCAGGTGTGTCCTGTTCCTGGGTGCAGCTACGTGCCTCCTGGACTCAGGCAGAGGAGTCAGAGGCTCCAAGGAATGAGTGGTACATCACTTCGCACACGCTGTTCCTCCTGCTCAGAATGTGCTAGAATGCCAAGTTCCAAAACGCCACTATTCCCTGGCCTGGGAATCCCTCTTACCCCTCAATGCCCGAACCACCTATCCTCTGCAGACCCCACCTGTGTCTGCCACCACCACCCACCTTGGCGGCAAGAGCGCCAAACCAGGCAGTCTGGATTCAAATCCCGAAACCCTCCTGAGCGTGGTGCGTAATCAAAACTGAACGGGGGTGGGGGGTGCACAAGGGTACCTGCCTAATGAACGTCTGTATACCTAGCCCTGAACTGTACCCTACATCTTTAAATAAAAAAATAAAAAGATGTTGTTTAGTAAAAAAAGAAAGAAAGAAAACCAGAAGGGGCCACCTGTCCCTGCCCTATGGGTCCCAGACAGTCAATGTGGTGGTCAGGGATGTGTATTCTGCAGGGTGATGGCCTGCATGCTAAACCCAGCTCTGTC